TGCCCAGCCGCACCCAGCCCTTTTTAAATTACACTTCCTCCTTGGTGGTCCTGAGATGTGGCCATGGGTAAGCATGGAAGTCAGTCCCCATGGGGACGGATGCAGGAACGAGGGCCTGGGTGCCAACTTCTAGGCAACATGGCATTTTTCTCAGTTCCCCAAAGCAGTGGATTCCAATGATCCAAGCGCCGAGAAGGCCCTTCCTTTTCTCTAGGGATGCTAAATGGCAGCTGGAGTTGCAGGGAGCAGACTTGGCACAGGGGAAGCCATGGGAAAAAGGACGCCCATGGCCACCTCCCAGGAGGTCAGAGCGCTCATAAAAGAACAGTCGGTAGAAAAGAAAGAGCAGGCGTCTCAGGAGGGTAGGGCGAGCCTGGCAGGAACCCACCCAGCACATGGAGGCTTAGGAGAAGCAAACCCAACATCCACTTAGATCTGTGTGGACTGCCCACAGGTTTGTCACAGGTTTTCTCTCCTTCTGTGGCCCTGAGCCAGGGAAGAGAACCAGGGGCAGGGCCCGGTTGTTGCTCCAAGAAGCAAGATCTGATCCCCCACCACTCCCAGGTCCCAGCCACGGGATGATCAGCTGGGGAACACCTGCACTGCTCAACGCCTCCCCTGGGAGGTGCCACGGACCCACTTCCGCCTTCAAAGGGCTGAGACTGCCAAGGAGCCAACACGGATGGCCAGGACTGCCACTAAATCATACCCATTTGGGAGCCCAGGTGCCCAATGAGGTGGGGTCATGTTCCCATCCTGCTGCAAAGACAAGGAATAGGCCCAGCTGGGAGAAGCTCTAGACCACCCAGTGGGTCGGTCCTCACGATGCTGGCATGGGACCCTGAGTCTGCCCAGCTCCAGGGCTTGGACAAGCTGGAGGGTGGAATGGAGCGGACAGCTCCTTCCTCCTCCATGCCCTTCCTGGGCCAGGCCCACCAGGAGAAACTTGACCAAGTCCCTCACTCCAGGTCAACTCTGATTAGACTCTGGGTACTCAGAGTACCATTCCCAAAGTGGTGTGCGGCAGAGGGGGCTGACAGCTGCCTGCCTGATGGCCCAGGGCAGGAGGAGCAAGCCCCATGTGCTGGGCAGGTCCACCCTATGGGGGCTCTGAGGACAGGGCCTGTGTCCTTGGCACACTGCCAACCACATGGCACACGAACAAGAAGAAAGAGTAGGAGACGGTCTTTTTGTTTTTTTTTTTTTGAGATGGAGTTTCACTCTGTCGCCAGGCTAGAGTGCAGTGGTGAGATCTCGGCTCGCTGCAAACTCCGCCTCCTGGATTCAAGCGATTCACCTGCCTCAGCCTCTCGAGCAGCTGGGATTACAGGCACCTGCCACTGTGCCTGGCTGATTTTTGTATTTTTAGTAGAGACGGGGTTTCACCATGTTGGCCAGGCTGGTCTCGAATTCTTGATCTCATGATCCACCCGCCTAGGCCTCCCAAAGTGCTGGGATTACAGGCATAAGCCATGGTGCCCAGCCATGAGGTGGTTCTCAGAGGCAACTACAGTCAGGTTCATGCCCATTCTGTGTCCTGCCTGGGCCAGACAGCTCCTGTCCCTGCATGAGACCCCTGACGCCATGGGTCAGCTCCCCTCAACTCAGCGCTACTTCTGACAAAAGCTGCTCCCCCTGGACACCGGGTCCCCAGCTTGCACGCCTCGGCCATTCTCAGTAGCTGCTACCTGCCTGGGAATGAAACAGCCTCACTATGTGCCAGGCCCCGCCCAGGAAGGCTCAGAGCGGCACGGGCACAGGCCATCCCTGCTCATCGATGACGTGCACACAGAATACGTCAGCGATAGGGGGAACGGGAAGGAGAGTCTTCCCAGAGGAAGACATGAAGTGCTTCATCCAGTCTCACATCACAGACACAAACCACGAATCCCCCTTTCTAATCCTTAAACCCGACATTAACTGTTTTTTAATGAAAGCACTCAGGAGGAAGGAGGAGGATTCCAGGCAGACAAAATGCCATCCTCCTACTCACCTCCTTCGCACAGGTCTCCTTGGCTGGGGAGCCTGAGTTGGCAAGAGTGTGGGGGATAAAAAAAGGGGTCCCTGGACATAACCCACAATGACAGAAAAGAAAAGAGGTGGCTGAGTGAGGCATGGTGATGGCTGCTGCCTGGAGAGTATGGTGCATGTGGGGTCACCCCTGCAACTGCACCCAGACACCTTCCACACGGGACTGAGTGTGCTGCCAAACTCACCAATCCCAAAAGACAAGGTCTGCTGAGGACCAGGAGGGGCTCCAGGCCTCAGGTCGAGGGTACCCTGCATGCCCCCAGCTCAGCAGGCTGGGCGGACCCAAGCCATCCCCTGCCACGCTCACCTCTCCCTTCTTCACCGTCATGGACTGCCGTCGGGGTGTGATCTCCTCGTTGATGCTGGACAGGAAGTTCTGTGAGATGCGGAGGGCATCCTGCAGCAAGGGGTGGTCAGGGTGGCTGGCAGGAGTATGCTTCAGCAAGTCCTGCCCCAGGAAGAAAGATTCGAGTTAGACACAGAGGAGCACTGACACCTGCCACTGTGTGCAAAGTGCAGACACAAAATGCAGACGGAGCCCAGAGCACCAGCTCCCTCAGTGTCACCACTGCCTCTCTCACATGGGCATGGGCTTTGCGGACAGAGCTTGTGTGAGCACCGTTCTGGAAGCAGGTCCTAGATGTGTTCCAGCAAACCCACACTGCATGCACACGGCCAAGAGGGGCTCCTCTTGGATCTAGGGCAGGGTTTCTCAACCTCAGCACTGCTGACATTTTGCGTGGAGTAATTCTTTGTTGAGGGGCAAGAAAGAGCTGTCCTTTGCACTACAGAATGTCCAACACCATCCCAGGCCTCTACCCATTAGAGGCCAGTAGCACCCCCTTGGCTGCAGCTATGACAACCAAAAAAGGTCTCAGAACATTGTTGCTGTGTGTGCCTGAGAGGGCAGTTTTGGTCCCAGTCTGGAGGGGCGCTGTGACTCACATGGAGGACCAGCGTGCTCCTTGTCACACGGTCCACAGGCTTGTAGAGTAGAGCTGTGGAGAGAGAGGGGTGGTGAGAGAGGCTGCACATGGAGAAGCACACCAGCTGCCTGACCACCCTTGGTGCAAGGGTGAGTGGGGAGGGGGCTGCCCCACCCTCCACAGGCGCCATCTCCCCTCTGCGCAGTGACCAGGGCAAGGCTAGAGCACCCACCTGGAACGCTTTAAGTCCAGGACATTTACTGCATGCAGAGTCCAGAGCAGCTGTCAGACCCAAGCCTGCACGGCTGGCTCGGTGACAACAGCTAAAAAGGCTCAGCACTGCTGCTCCTCTAGCCTGAGGTCAGGGAGCCCACCCTGGCAAGGTTGGGCTGGGGAGGGCCCCAATTCTGGAGGGAGACCTGCTCCCTGGCCCAGAGGGTAAGCTGAGCAAACCGCTTAGCTGCTCTTACCATCAATCCCGAGACATTTCAGACGCCTGACTCTGAGACGGGCAGAAACCCACTCAGATGCCAACACAACTCTTGGTTTGACAGGTTCTCTGGTGACCTGCCTGCCCGAGGACACCCGAACTCCAGAGGCACATGAGCCCCACTGCAGTGGGAGCAGCTCCCTGGCATGGCAGAAGCCCTGGCCAGCCTCAGCCACCTGTGCTTCTCCATGATGACAGTGAGCGTGGCCAATCCCAGGCACGGATGCTTACGTGTGTTCTGAGACATGCCTCCCACAACCAGCGTAAGGCACACATCGCTATTTTCATTTTGCAGATGGGGAAACTGAGGTTTGGGGCAAAAAACTCCAGGGCCTGCTGTTCTCTGCAAATGTAACTATTCACAACACCCTCACAACTAAAGTAAGAAGTGACTGATAATTCCTGATACCACTTTCCCAACAACTCTGGACTCAATCCCTGCGCAGCCACGTACAGCCTGTGCTGTGCACAGATTACTTTATGACTAAGCTTGTCATCAGCAAAAACAGAAAATAAAATCCTTTTTACAGCCGGGTGCGGCAGCTCACACCTGTAATCCCAGCACTTTAGGAGGCCAAGACACTTGAGGTCAAGAGTTCAAGACCAACCTGACCAATATGAGGGAAACCCTGTCTCTATTAAAAATACAAAAATTAGCTGGCCGTGGTGGTGTGTGCCTGTAATCCCAGCTACTCGGGAGGGTGAAGCAGGAGGATCACTTGAACCCGGGAGGCAGAGGTTGCAGTGAACCGAAACTCTGCCTCAAAAAAAAAAAAATCCTCCTTACAAGGCCACTGGGGTCAACAGGATGACATTTAAGTCAATTTAAGCAGCACCTTGTTGCTACTCTTGGTGGCGAACTGGTACTGATGGTATCCTTCCCTGCCCTCCCTGAATTGTTCTTTCCTCGTCCCCACTGTATTTGAAGAGCAGAACAGGGAAGGTGCCAAGGGGTGACCCAACTGGGCACTGTGTCTGCTTTTCCATGACGCCCCCTCTGCCAGCAGCAGCCTCCCTGACAAGGGCACACAGAGACCTCAGCATGCAGAACTCACTTTCTAGAGAGTTCTTGGTGGTTGGATCCTTGGCATCTTTGTTGCTTCTGGCTCTCAGGTTCTGCAGAGAGAAAAGCGCATGTTCGCACAGATGACAGAGTAGCTTTGATGCAGAACGTTCCCCCTTTGGCAGCAGTTTCAGCTTTCCCTCCTCACTGCAACAAACCCCAGGCGCATTCTGAGCTGAGACTGAAATCACAGGGTGTGCAGGGACACACGAGCAAGCTGAGCATGCAGGATGCCCTGGATGCTGCGGTCTACCTGGGACAGGGCTTCTCTGCCAGGGCACTGTTGACATTTTGCGCTACAAATTCTCTAAGCAGCTTTCCTGGGCACCATAGGGTGCTGAGCAGCTGCCCTGGCCTCTACCTATAGGTACAGGAGCATGCCTGCCTTCCTGCTGTTGTGACATCCAAAAATATCTCCAGGCATTGCCAAGTGTCCCTTGTGAACAAAATCATGCCTGGCTGAGATCCTCTGACACAGAGAATCCTGTAAATGGAGGCCAACAGGAGCATGCTCCTAAACACACGTCACTGTTTTCTTGGGGCAATTAGACAGCATGCAGGGGGCTGGTGGTTCAGAAGAGCACTCATATTTGGAGACGGCCAGGGCAGGCCCACCACTGCAGACTGACACTGGATTATAACTCCACCTGCCCTCTCCGGATTTGCAAGTGTACTTACTAAAAAATGAGGTGCTAAGATTCCCAGGGCAAAAGCAGGGCTTGTAAGTGAACAGCCTAGGCTGTTTTGATACAACTGCGTTGAAAGCATCACAAAAGAAATGTAGAATAAAAGATCCTGTGTGCCTAAAATCCTCTGGGAAGGAGCTGAGATTAATTTCTGGTACTAAGCTTCTGAACAAAAGCATAAACAGCAGAGACGGAAGAGGTTCTGAGGTTGCTCTGCCAACCTCTTGTGCTGCAGGAAACATCTCAAGACCAAAAGACAGTGTTTTCCAGCTCACTGGGGCCAAACGCTGCCATGCACTTTGGTACCTTTCCTGAGAGTTTAACAGCCCTCGCAGTGATTTTTCCTCTGTACATCTGACTCAGCAGTTCCCAAAGGGTGTGAGGGGGTGGGAGAGCCACACAAAAGACTGCAAAAACCAGGTGCTGGGCTCACACGAGCCTGGGAGGCGGCCCACGTATCCGTGGACAGTGCTATGCTTGGGAGTTATCTAGGAGCTCCAGGAACACCTGCCTCAAGAAAACTTATGAGTTTGGTTTAACCCTGTATTTCCCAAACTGGCCTGACTCCCAAAGCCCTTTTCATGTAATTCTTATTACCCACTGTCTGGAGAGCTGGCGTTCCATGGAACCAGTTCTAATGATGCTGCCCATCTCTCAGGACTGTCCCAGGAGAAGATGGACACTACTCCACTCCTTCCCGTACTTGAGGGTGATCCTCGAACTCCCATGCCTGAGCACTGACCCCCTACACCTCCACAGGGCTTGCTGCTTTCTCTTCCTTGAGTTTGACTCTGCTGTCTTTGGGTGGCTCCAATTCTTCTGGGTCTTTTTTGAAACACCGAGAACAAAGTGCAAGTCGCCCTGACGGTGCAGGTGCCACAAACCTTCACGGTGGGTCGGTTTGCAGCTGGTCCTGAGCCCCATCCCACTCCCCGCATTTCAGCCACAGCTCAGAATCCACCGGTGCATGGTTGGTGGGACCACGTGATCCCCAGGTGGCGTCCCATGGTGTTTCCTCCCTCCTCTGCAGAAACCTGTCCAGGTGAACTTAGACTTGTCCACCTAACTGTAACCTGCTCTTAAAAAATCAGGTCCCTGATTTGTCAGGGTCACTTGAAATTCGGTGCCATCATTCCAGCTGTTGGGGAGGAGGGTTGCTAGTTTAATGAAAAAGGAAAAGAGAATAGATTGAATGGTCCAGAGGGAGTCTGGCAGTGGGGAGGGAGCTGCAGCCCCAGATGCATGCAGAGCCTGTTACCAGCAGCACCTGGCGGAGCAGGGTGCCCCACAGACTCTGGAGGAACAGGGCGGCAGGTACTGTCACCACTGGAGACATCAGAGCGAAGCCCGTGATGCTCCATCCTGCAATAAACAATAAGACGGCACAAAGCCTCAGGAACAAAGCCTAGGGGTGACAGCTGAGGGTGTGTCCCAGCAAGGGTGACCGCATTCACTCCCTATTTCTAGTGCGCATGTCTCTTTCTAACCCTGCGGTTCTCACCTGGAGGGCTTTCTCCTCAGAACCCTTGCTGGGTGGGGGAAAGCCAAGTCAGAAGGCAAAGCTACAGTGAGATGGGGGGCTCATGAAGCAGCAAGGGACCCCGAAGAGGAAAACAATGCAGAGTGGCCACCAGGCAGACAGGCTGGGGAAGGGCAGGAAGAACCCCAGTCTGGAGAGTGCAGACCCAGGGGTGCGGCTGGCTTCTGCCTGAACGGCCCATTCATGGTCTCTGTTTCTGAATGAGTCTTTCGAGGCCCTGGGTGCTAACACTGCATGGTTTGAGGTTTCAGCTTCCTGGGGCTAAATGCAGGCAGGGAGTCAGCAGCCTCTCAGACCCAGGGCCTGGGGTAGGGCAGCTCCAACCTGTCGCTTTGCTCCTGCATGTGGGTCTACAAAGCACAGGTGACATGAGCCCTCGCCCCATGGCACTAGCCCCTCAATGCTTCCTCAATGCTCTCAAGGTCTGGCAGGCTAGAAAAGGAAAAGTGGGACACCTCCAGGCTTGCCTCCAGTGGCAGGTACAAAGTCAGCCTCAGGACTCCTGTGGTGAGAGCTGTTAACGGGCAGAACTACAGACACCCCTCACTGCAGACAGACAGTGCAGTGTCCCTGGAACCCAGCCAACCCCCAGAATCAGGCCCTCGCCCCTGGGGAGGCCGGACACCCTGTGGGCTGCTCCTTCTGTCTGGGCACAACAGCATCCCCAGCATAGCGCTGACGCAATGAACCCAACAGAATCTGGAAACACCTGTGGTTCACGACCAGATCTTGATCTGGTGCACTCTGTTCTCCTGGGGAGGTGGAGGGTACAGGTGGGAGTCAGCGGTGCACCTGTCTGAAGAGCATCAAGGCATTACCTCAGAGATTTCTGCAAACTGAGCATTGGCCTGACAGCACTTCTCAGCCATTTCCATGGCAACTCCGTAGTTGTCCACAAAGGCCCGGTACACACCCAGCTGGCTGGCCTGAGGGGGAGGAAGGAAGAAAGAGTGGGACAGGTGCTGCTGCTCCCCCACCTTTCAGAAGAGCAGGCTCCTGTGCACAGCTCTGCAGAAACTCCAGGGGCAGCAGACGGCTCACAGGCTGCAGAGGCCTTGGCACTTCCATGCTGCTCCCTCCCACCTGCTTCCCTCCCCACGCACCCAGCACACTTCCCGCTCCCAAAATGACATGCTGAGAAGTGACTCACAGCACCAGGCAGGTAACAGTTCCCTTCCAGAGCTACTTATTCCTCCCACCCCATTCGCTGAAATGGTGCCATGAGCGGCAGCTGAAGTTCAAGATTGTCAGTGAATCTGGACAAGTGTCTGCACGCAGCACCTTCTCATTCTGGCTGCAGGAGTGTACCCTGGAAACGGAGGTCACCCCCCATCCCACCCATGGTGTTCCACGCCATGTCCAGTCCCTTCAGACGCATAAGAAATGCCAAGTCCGGCTGCTTTTGCAGAGGAGAGCCTCCTGCTGCACAGACACGATCCCATCCTGGGCCTGGTGAGGGTGCTCAGGTGTCATGCTGCACACCTGGCGGGGGGAGACTGGCTGTAAGGCGAGAGGTGTTCTGTTTGTTCTTTATGAAACCAATGGCAATAAGAGCGCTCCTCACTGCTCAGACACGCACTCAATTCAGCAACAATTTGCCTTGTGTGTGAGTGCGGCAGACACCTCCCTCTCTGGGCCCCACAACACCTTTATGGGCAGCGAGGGAAAAACCAGCAAACCCAGGCCTGGGGAGTGTAAGGGCAGACCCAGGGGACACACTGGTTAGGGTTGGAGACTCCCACTGTAGTTGACTGCAAGCTGGAAGCCCAAGGCATTCACGGCTCCTGGCATTTGTTTTGTGTCAAACCTAAATTTTATTTCCATGTGCATTTGCATCTATATTGAATTTTATGTTTCTACAGATGACAATCCCAGATGCTGGATAAACCAGGCACCCTTGGCACTGTCTGATATTCTGGCCCTGCTCCCTACAGGGGCTGCAAGAAGGGGCTTAGAGTGTATGAGGAAAGGGTAGCAGCCAGAAGACACCTGCCAGGCCCCTGCCATGCTGACCACCCGGAGGAGTCCTTGCGTCCTCCAATTCTAGGTTCTTCCTCATCCATGCAGTGATGAGGCCCAGAGCTCTTCCTTCTTTCCCTCCTCTGCAAGTCACTGAGTGCCTCCCAGTCAAACTAAGGGCCTGCTTTAGGCCTTGTCACCACAGTGGTAAACAACTCAGACACAGCGCTGCCCTCCGAAGCTGGTGTTCTAACAGGAGAGTGCTTATAAACACATGCATGAATACACACAAGGAATGTAATGGCAGATGGTTACAAGCGGGACAGGGGCTGAGAGTGACGAGGCTGCTTTCAAGAATGTGGTCAGGACCAGGACAGCCTCTCAGAAGAGCTGACAGCTGAGCAGGGTCTCGGGGGTCTTGGGAGAAGGACTCCTTTCAAGACTTTTCCTCCCTCCTGCTCCAGGAGCTCACATCTTCCAGGTGGCTTGTGAGAAGTTCTAAGCAATTCCTTCCCACATTTTTCGCTAATCAAAAACGTGCCTCCGGTCTGATGCACTGAGAAGCACACAGCCTCGCTGCTGTGGTACTGTTACACAGAACGTGAAGCTATTCCTGAGGAAACTGGCAAACCCGAGGAGGTCTGTGCTCGGTCAAGGTTGGCTGGGCATGGCAGCTCATGCCTGTAATCCTAGCACTTTGGGAGGCCAAGGCAGGCAGATCACTTGAGGTCAGGAGTTCAAGAACAGCCTGGCCAACATGGCAATACCCTGTTTCTACTGAAAATACCAAAATTGGCCAGGCGTAATTGCAGATGCCTATAATCCCGGCCAC